GTATGCTTTATGCATGCACGCGTTGAAAGAAATGTTTAATAAAGTAAACAATTAAATATAAAGCTTCTTTTTTTGTAAATTTTAATACCTTTTAGATCATAATTGCTCATTATTTTATAAATTACGGTTTCATATTTTTAATTTTATAATTTCTGCATGCCATCTTACCAGATTTAAACTGATGATCTATAATCCGGAAAAATCGATAATCCGGAATTGTCGAAGTCCCGACGAGTCCAGATTAAAGACTTTTGACTGTAAATACAATCAGACCTTGCTGTGGTGAACCTGGGTTGTATTGCACAAACCTTTTGATCTTGTTCAATTTCCTGTACACTTAAAAGTTATTTTGTACTAAACTTTAAAGTGTATAAAAATCAGGTCTAACAATCTTTATAGATATCTTTGAGTGAAACATATATTTTGATTTTTCATAATTTTTTCCAGAATTTCTGAAAGTTTTAACACTTTGTGGGCTGCTGTCACGCTGGCGTGACTTTTGCTTGCCCACGGTTATCGGCTGCTGTCCTTTTGCTCGCCAACAGTTATCATCCACTGTCACGTACGCGTGACTTATTTTCGCCACCGACAATGCTTCACATCGACGTTTGTATAGATAGACATACTATAGCAAAACATTTGTAGATCAGGAAACATTGGTTTCAACTGTTTTCCTCTTCGAATTCACCAGACTGTCTATTATTGAAATTTTTTTTTCGTGGACGCTTGTTTTGTTAGTTTGAGACTGTCTTTTGCTGCCTTCAATTATCGGAAACTTACGTTAGATTTAAAAATATCCTTCAAAATGCTCTTTGATGAGGAAATATATGCTGATCTGTTAGCAGAAGAGGAAATTGCTCTGATAGTGAAAATGATTCGGACAGTGGGAGCAGTATAATTGTGAGACAATTAAAAAATAAGGGAAGACCAATAATTAGTGAATCTGAAAGTGATGAAGAGAATTCTGTGGCAAATGATTGGTCATAAGTTGATTTTAAACCTAACTTTCATGCTTGCCTGGAACGGTTTGAGTTACAGGTACCATACACACCAGATATATTATCAACTGTAGAATTGTTCATTGGGGACGATTTATTTAATTTGTTTGCCACACAAACAAACTTATATCATAATCAGCAGAATAATGATAACAACAATGCATCAACAAAGAATAAAGCTTGGATTGATACAAATGTTCTAGAAATGAAAAAACTTGGGGCTTGTTATCCTAATGGGAATAGTAAGAAAACCAGAACAAGATGATTATTGGTCTACTCACCCTGGATTACATACACCTATTTTTGGGAATACTATGCCAAGGAACCGATTTCGGCAGTTATGGAAGTATTGACACTTTAGTAATAATGAGCATTGCCAAGAAAGGCTTGATAAAATAAAACCAGTTTACTCGTACCTGGTAGAAAAGTTTCAAAACATTTATAAACCCGAGAAAGAATTATCGCTGGATGAAGGATTCCATGGAGGGGCAGGCTATCTTTTCGTACATATAATCCTGCGAAAATTATAAAATATGGAATTTTAGTCCGTATGTTGTGTGAGGCAACATCTGGTTATATATGCAATTTAGAAATATATTGACCGCAAGGAAATTTGCTAATTGCAACAATATTGTCCGTACTATTGCCCATATTTAAATTTATGCCACGATGTATATGTGGACAACTATTACAATAGTGTAAAGGTTGCAGAGGAGTTACTAAAGCATAAAACAAACATCTGTGGCACAATTAGAGTAAACAGAGGAGTGCCAAATTGTTTAAAATCTGCTACATTGAAAAATAAGTCAATGGAATTTCATAGAAAAGGGAAAATTATGGATACAAAAATGGAATGCGGCCAAAAATTGATAATGATGATTTCTACGATACATTCATCAGACATGGATGGAATGTGTGAGTAAAAGAACCAAAAAGAAGTGCATTAAACCCAATTTGCATACAAGAGTATAATAATTTATGTGTGGTGTTGTATATGTAAGGTGTTGATCGCACTGATCAATACCTATCGTGTTATTCCATACTTCGCAAAACCAAAAAAAAAAAAAAAAAACAGTTTTTTATCTCATAAACTGTGCGTTACTCAACGCGTTCCAGATATACATAAAAAATTCTGAAAATCCTATTAGATTCAAACAATTTTTACTAAACCTTGCACTAGCATGTATTAATAGGAATGAAGAATAGCAACAATCAAGATCGGCTGCTCAATGTGATAAAAGATTGCCGAGGTTTGATCCACACTGCCGCCAAGAAAAGAAGTTCCGCTGCATACATGTGTTCTTCCTGCAACGTATCTCTGCATGTTGGAAAGTGTTTTCAGAATTATCACACTAAAAAGAACTATGGATCCTAGGAGTTAAATTTTTTAAATAAAACATTTTAGTACTAATTAAAAAATATAATTGGAATAAAATGGAATAAAAATAGTGTAACAGTTATTTTAGTGCTTTCTTTAATAATAATTATATACCAACTACTTATGTTTTGAAAAATTGCGTAAATATCACCGTTGGCGAGCAATAAAACCTGCGTGAACTGGCGGCAGCGTAACAGCACTTCGATAAATGCACAGCACGTAAAGTGTTAACTGGAGAAAACATTCTAACCATAAAAATCATATACACTTAGGATATAAGAAAAATGCTTTTGCATAATTTTTCTCTTTATCGCCATTTTCTTTGGCTTTTAGTTGTAACAAAGATCCTCATGCAGGAATACAGTTTGTACATGTAGAACAACAACAATATTATCTTTATTTATTTATTTATTTTTTCTCTGGGGGGCCAGATTTAGTGTTTGCATTTTTTCTTTGTTGAGTAATTTAACAATCTGTGTTTTTTCATTTAAATCTCCTTCTGAAAGTTTTACAAATGCATGGCATGACTTTTTAGATCAGCTCATGAAAAAACTGTATGGTAAACTGTGTTTTTCTTTTCTGCAGTATTAATTTATTCATGCCACCCAGCCAATATGGTGGTTAGTGTTGCTGACTGCCATGTTGATGGGCCTAGGTTCAAATCCCAGAAAAGTCTTGGATGTTTGGTTCAAATCCTGGAAATGTCTTGGAAGTGCATAGTATCTGCACGGCAAAGGACGTTCAAAATATCCAACAAGCCATAAGTCATCTCAAGACGTGGATGGTAAGGAAAAAGGGTAGGAGACACTCGGACCCTCCTCCCTGGGGGTGCATTCTCCCTCAAAATAATTGGGGCAGAAGCTTAACAGTTAGCTAGGTTCAGCTGTGGTACTACAAAGGTGCTGACCTAGTTTCTATCTCTACCAGGCAGTATTAATCTTCTGCATTTAGACAATATGTTACATAGAGAATTAAAGTACCTAGCCACCCAATGATTTACTTCAGTATTGATGCATCTGAGGAAAGCAATGAAATGTGTGTTCATTATTCAATAGCATGTGATCTATTTTAAGACAGATTGCCGCATCATAGCATCTATAAGAATTGTGCAAATTTAGTGAAAGAATGTAAAAAATGATTGTTAATTTTTGACTTTCCCCCATCATATCTTAGCTTGGAGGAAAAAAATTAGGAATTTTTATCTCTAGGTATACTTTTTAGAATTTTCTCTTGCATTTATTTATCATCATCATCCTTAGCACAACAGCCCAGAGTAGGCGAAGGCCTTCTGAACAACCTCTACTCTTTTCCAATTACCTCTACAAGCAGACAAACTCCTCCAATTCTTAGTTTTAAGGACTAAACAATCCTCCTCTACAGCATCTATCCATCGAAGTCTAGATCTTCTCCTTCTTCTTGTGTTACTTGGTCTAAGCGAAAATATTTCTTTTATACTGTCATTCATACAGATAATGTGTCTTATACTGTCATTCATATGGATAACATATGAATTGAGGCAACTTATTGTTGGCAACTTATTTTAATGTAATGAACAACATCTGGCTCTTTGAACACAGTAGTATAATTGTGTTGTCTTTTTTTACCCCAGTTACCATTCCTGAATTCCTCCGAAAACACTTCTCGAGACCTTGTATTCAAAAGTACCCAAGGTCCTTTTTCCACCTTCACACTCATAGTCTAGGTCCAGACCAGTGCTATGTCATCTGCAAAGGTCAATACTTAACAGATTTTCTAAAAATACTGCCCCTGGTGCTATCTCTAAGACTACCTAATGACCTTCTCCACCACAATTTTAAATAAAAGGTATGATAGGGTATCTCGTTGTGTAAACCCTCTATTGATGAGGAAACCAATAGAAAGGTACCCCTTAATCAGAACCTTGCAAAAGTCATATCAAGTGTTATTTTGACCAATTTTATCAGTTTTAATGAAAGATCAAAATCATGCATTGCTCTAAATAATTCATTGTGATCAATGGAATCATATGCTGCTTTGTAGTCAATAAACCAGAAATGCGAATCAATATTAAATTCGTGGGATTTCTCCATAATTTGTGTAAAGCCAAAGATATAGTCCCTAGTCGATTTACCTGTACAGAATCCACATTGATAGTTTCCAGCAATTCTATTTGCACAATGAACAAGTCTCTTGCACAGTAAGCATGTAGAGTCATTAGGCTTTTTTGAAGAAGGAGACTTGAAGAATGAGCAGTATTTTCACCAGGACTCGAACCTGAACCTCTGAAATACACACCGAGTGTTGTACCATTACACCACGAAGGCATGCAGAAAGAAGGGAGAAAAAACCGTATAATCATTTTATTTGTACCAATCTAATTTTTCAATATATGCATTTAAAATTTCTTAGAATTTTTACCTTTATGCTTCTGAACTCCACTTTTTCTCTTTAGAACAATTGCACTTTGAAAGAATACACATCTTTTGTTAATTTTTTCAATCTTTTGGTTAAGAAAAAGTTTTATTTAGACATTTATAATAAATTTTTGCAGAATAGATAATATGATTTTGTTTTAATTCTATTGTTGTGCAGTATGTATGTATGTATGTATGTAATTACATGTGCATATTTGTATTATTTTTCAGGAAAGTATGAATATGGTAACTCCAGCTATGCAGTTAGCCAGCAAAATACCAGACGTACATGTACAGCTGTGGGCTTCAGCTTTATTAAAAGGTACATTTCAAAAGTTCTCTTAGTTCGAAAATATGTTTTTAGCTTAATTATGTAAGAATTACACATTTAATGAAGTATTTTTTTTTTTTCTAAAATTAATTTATAGAGTAGAAGTTCATGAATTATGAGTTCATAAATTTAAAGCTATAATTTAAAGTTTGAATTTTGTTACCAAAACGGCATTGCCATGGCAACAGTTGACTCTCAGTTATATGCTTTGGTATTAGGTTAAATAATTGGGCAATTTTTATTTATTTTTTGTATTGAAAATTGCAACTGTTTCTTAAAAAGGAATTCTTAAGTTCAAGTTTTGGATTTTATAATTAGCCTATCCCTTATTTTCGAATTTTTTTATCCTTGCATTACTGTCTTTTTCTTTTCTTCCCTCTCCCTTGATAAAAATGCAGATGTTTTTGGTATTAAAAGGAAAAATAATTTCATAGTCTGATTGGACTCAATCTAATATATCTAATGTAGATACAGTCAAAAGTCGTTAATCCGGACTCGTCGGGACTTTGGCGATTCCAGATTATAGATCATCAGTTTAAATCTGGTACAATGGCATGCAGAAATTAAAAAATTAAAAATATGAAACCGTAATTTATGAAATAAAGAACAATTATGATTTAAAGGGTATCAAAATTTACAAAAAAAAAAAAGCTTAATATTTATTTGTTTACTTTATTAAACATTTCTTTCAATGTAAGTTGTTTAAGTTGCTTCGTTTTTTATGTGATAATACTTTCTCTTTAATTCTATTAAACAGACATAATTTCTTGTTTAGTTACAAAGTTCCGCTGTTCAAGTCCTATAATTGCTGTGTCGAGAATACCGACTAATTTGTCAATCGAAATTTTTTCGTTTTCAATAACCTCTGCGTCACTTTCTTCACTATCGGAAGCGAATTATAATGACGAGGAATTTGATTTAAATCATATCAAAGACGGAGTACATCGAGATGAAATACTACATTTAGTAAGGAATTATAAGCCAAATAAAATAAAAACATCTGCTCGTTTCCCTCCCCTCGCAGAGCAGCGTGAAATTGATAAACATATTTCAGAATGATTAGATAATCAAAGGATATGCCTTTATCCATTTTTTTTGCAGCAATTCCACTTTTTGTTTAATGGACTTCGAAACATACTTTCGCTTTGTAGATCCTTTACATATTAGTAAATATATATCGGAAATTCTATTTGACATAATCGAAAGTTCAAGCTTACTTTTATAAAATTGCTCTAACAGTCTGCAAAAAATAATAAGCCGGATCCAATTCGAAGATTAAGGAACAACGCAATCTGCAACATTAACTGAATTAGATAATTTTAGCTTAGCTTATACCGTCCGTTATACATTAAACGCGCATGCATCGTAAAAATTTTCATGCACATGCACAAAAGTTGTAGTGAAGGATATGGGTGTCCGAATTAACAACTTTTGACTGTAGTTGCATATGTTAATAACATTAAGTACATTGTAATTAGCAACATAAAATTGATGATTAAATAGGATATGGGCAAATTTTTATAAAAAAATAATATCCAGCATTATTTTGCTGTTTCAATTTTAAGTAGTCAAAGCATGTGTTAAAGGAAAATATAGTCATAAATCTTCTGTAGCTAAAAATAAAAGCAAGCTTTATTTCAGTATTTTTAATAATTTCTTAACAGAGTAGTATATGAGCCAAAATAGAAGATGACATTTTCCCATTCAAAGTGCTGAGTGATGTAGCGTTTTAGATTTCCATATTATATTATGGGAAAGTGTTTTAACAGCTAAATTTATATATTTCTTTTTAGTCTTTGTTTTTATAAATTTTCATTTATTAGGATGACAATTAGACTATCAAAGAAAATAACAAAAAACTTACCTTAAATAATAAAGAATTGTATACCGAGTTACAAGAAGATGAGGATAGTGCTGACGGATCAACTTCCAATTCATTGCGCACCGTGACGTCCCCCCCAACGCCGCAGAGATCCGTGAAATTGATAAACAGATTTCGGAATGGTTAGAGAAACAAAGGATTTGCCTTTATCCATTTTTTGCAGCGTTTACGTATTCCACTTTTTGTTTGATGGACATCGAAACATGCTTTCTTTTGTAATAGATCCTTTGGCAGCTCCAGAATCGGAAATTCTATTTGACATAATCGAAAGTTCAAGCTTATTTTTATAAAATTCCTCTAACACTCTGCAAAAAATAATAAGCCGGATCCAATTCGAAGATTAAAGAACAACATAATCTGCAACATTAACTGAAATAGATAATTTTAGCTTAGCTTATACCGTCCGTTATACAATAAATGCGCATGCGTAGACGTATTATGCGCATGCGGGAACGCATTATGCGTTGATGCATGCACAGAAAGTTTGTAGCTTTAAGGTCCGGATTAACGACTTTTGACTGTATTTGTTTCTTTGAACTTCTACCAGAATGCTTGGCACAAATTTGGTGGGATCTCCAGCAATTTTTATGATAAACCAAAAAAATATAAGTGCTTGAACATGTTTACGTGTAAAGATATGTACTTGATCAGTCATGATGTTCAGATATGTGTATACTGTCAGAATTTAGCACAAGTTGACCCATTCATCTTCTGTAACAAAAGAATGGGTTCATTTGATAATGTTGCCTTTCTTCAGTCATCTGTACATTTGGGCACATCTAAGCCATTACCAGAATTCAGATTTTGGGCACTATCAACCACAATGTCCCAGATATGCTTGCAGACAAAACTGACTTCTGGCATCAGTAAGTTTCGATTAACTCATGTTTTGTCAAATCTAACTCAAAGTGTCATTCACTTTTCATCAGTGCAAACTTTTGGATATGATAATGATCAGGCAACTAGCATTGCTATTGTTGAGATATTCTTATTATCTGTATCAAGGTTACTATGCTGCAAGGTTAGGTTTTCCTGACTTATGGAGAAGTAGCGTGATGACATCCTTGATACAACTTCCTTGATACATAAATCTGATAGATATATGGCTGTCTCAAGTGTCAGAAAGAGAAAGTTTTGCCTTGAAAGAATATAACTTTAATTGCATACTAGCCTTGATCTCTTTCTTTTGCAATTATGATATTGCCTGTTTGAAGTTGGATAAATCTTTTTTGCTTTTCCCATGTCATATCAAAATGAAATACTGGTTGAGAAGACTTTTGCCCAGTTATTATATGTATAGTAAACATTTAAAAATCATTCTGGTTAATATTCAAGATATAATAATGATGTTTGTGCAAAGTTTTTTTGGGTGGATGGGGGAATTTTATATTTTTGTCATATTTTAGTTACATCCAATAGTTGGTGCCGTACTTTGGAATTCTTGTATAGCTCTTAAGTTGACAACAATTACCATGACTTTTAGGAGAGAATGGAATAATAAGCTTTTATTTATAGAATAAATTACTATCCAGCTTAAAGACCTGAAATCCATGCTTTGATTTCTGGCTATAAAGCAACTTAAGTAATGGGTATATAGAAATCATTGAGTATCTCTGGTAGGTTTAAAAGATGGTATTCAGAGGCATGCATCAAATGTCTCTAAAGAATTGCTTTTTATCCCCTATCCATACATTTTAGCTTCTTATCTTCAGGTAGTATTTAATTGTAATAGTTTCCACCTTCAATATTCATTGATGAATATTTTGAAATTTGTATTTTTTAATGAATGAAGCACATGCAATGTAACTGAAAAACTGCACAATAAAATCTCTGAATCTATTCCCTAATTTTATGCATTTCTGTTCTAATCGTGTTAACACATATTTCAAATATATGTTAACACTAACTACTGTTAAGTAATTAAATTTTTAAAAATAATTAAAAGTAGTTAAATTTAAAAAAATTACATAATGTATTGACTTTTGGATCTTCTTTTTTGTAGTAATATAGGCATGTTTAGGATGGGAATACAATTTAAACTAGCAGCAAAATAAAAGCCTGGTGAGCTTCTATCAATCTATTAATATTTAGTTCTACTTTATTAAATCTCTATGATGGGAATGGGACTATTCGGGATGTTTCACCGTCAATACATATTTTTCTTTACATGACTGTATTATATCTTGACATATTATATTAAGTTGATTTAGTTTAATAATTCTGTTTACCTATTATATATTTAAGAGATATTTTTCTTTGTATGCCTATGTTATATCTTGCCACATTATATTGTAAAGTTTATTTAATTTAATAATTTTGTTTTTCTATTGTATACCTCTGGCTGTCTTAAATTTTAAAAGGAAAAACCTTTTGCAATTTCTTGCAACTACTTTAAACAAATCGCATAAAACAACTTCCTAAATTTTTGTCATTTAAAGAAACATATAGTTTGTTAACATGTACTGTTCAGCAGCTTCCTTCTATTAAAAGCTTTTGAATAATATATACAGTGTTTTTGTATACAATTTTATACAAATACATCGTTACACATGACAGATTTACTTTAAGAGAGTAATGTTCTGACAAGATTCCAAAATAGTTTTTAATTCAGATTAACATAAAAATGGGAATTTTTTGCTTGCAGTAGTGATTTCTAATTACCAATTAAAGTTTCAAGAAATTTTGACAAATCGTGGAAAAATTTTACCTGCATAATTTTGAAATCAATAGTATAACTTCTGTTATATCAGAGTTTTAGCCTCAGTTCTCTTTGACATCAGAGGTTTAGCCTCAGTTCTCTGTGATACTGACATAACTTTCTAACTAACTATGTGTACTTTCTTTCTATCTTATATTTGTAAACAAGTGTGTGCAATTTTTTTATATCTCATATTTGTAAAGAACTCTATATATTATATGCAGCCTTTATTATGTATACAAAAGGTAAACACAATTATTAAACTAAATAAGTTTAATACAAGTATAATACCGCGAGATATGATAGTCATTTTGATGAATTTGTGAACATTTCATCACCAGTAATGATATCTTTGAAGATAATCATGAGATATGATAGTCATGTGAAGAAAAATATGTCTTGACAGCGAAT